AACAGTTAATGTTATCCCACGGGTGGCTGAGGAACTGTTCTATTTTTTTTTCACTTTGTGCTTGAGTATGCTTCAAATTCACTGATCTTTAGTTCTGCAGAGAACAATCTACTGTAATTTCATCTATTCCTTCTCGTCTAGCTAGTAACCAAGGAGGACAAAATAGCAGCGGTGATATTTTTTAAAAAAATAAATCTTACACATACTTGATTAATGGTATAAATGTATTTGCCACAAATAAAATATTTAAGGACTATTAATTTAGAAATGTGTAGTTTTTTCAATACTGCATTATGTCTATAAAATTATAGTTTGCGTGTATATAGGTATGTGTGTGTATATAGCACACATGTATGTAGTACTGGAAATGATATTGAATGTGACACCAACAATGCATTATTATTGTAGTTTTATTTTTTTATTTTGACCTGTTTTAAAGAAGGTGATAACAATCTGTGGAAAATACTTTATTGTATCATGCCAATATACTGCAATGAGTATTTCAAAGTAATACAAAAGTAAGTCACAAACTTGATTAAGTGAAGATCAAATGATCCAAAAACTTTTCTTCCTTAGTTTGTCACAGCAATTGCTAAAAGTCCATAAGCTGATTTTTCCAAGAAAGATTATTCTAATAACTTTGAGTGTTCAATCCGTGCAATGGTCCAGTCAGGCTTTACTCCTTGGGTAAACTCCCTCTGAAATCTAGGAAAAACATTACAAATAATGTGAATGTTACATCAGCCCAAATACTTCTTAGATAACTATATAATTTGCAAGTGTATATTAGAGGAGTTTTTAGCGACAAGCTAATAGTTAATGGCAAATCAAAATCAAACAAAAAAAGTTTAACCTAGTAATTCAATCCAAAAATTGAAGTACATTCTCAACTAATGTGAGTATTTTTAATGGACTAATCTACACTTAACATCTGCCAGCCTGAGAGAAACTTGGATATTATTCAGTTTCAATGCTAGCTATTACATATGCCTAATACAAGGAGAAATAAATTGGATTCCGATGATGCAGGCAGCATTTCAAATATATAAACTAGCATACAGTAAGACTTGTTTTTCAAATAACACTCTTACCAGTTTAAAAATAAGCAGTGGAATTTGGTTTATGTACAATAGATCAATCTTGAAAATGACAGTGTTTATGAGCTGCCCATGGTTTTAGTAAGGAACATCAGAAGGGACAAAATTTAGTGCTGATGACAGTGATCCTTAATTATAAATGATGTCTTAAAAAACAGACAATTCAGTAGATTCAAATTAAGTATTTAAATACATAGAATATTTTGGGCAATTACAAATACAGCAAAATTGAAAAAATAACACATTTCTTTCAAGGAAAGTAAAAAGACGAGGATATACAAGGGCTGTACGGAAAGTATCCAGCCATTGTATCCATGTATCCATTGTATCCGTGGCTGGATACTCGTAATTCTCTTTTACCTTATGAAACAGAACACATTTTCTTTCTTAGGCCATCTTTGGAATGTGTTTGTTATTTTAAAGCAAATTTGTATAACCTTAGCAACATAATAATAATATTCTCTTTTGAATATTAAATTATGTCTCCACTAACTTGCTCTGGTTGTTTCACTGTTCCAAATTTTGTTAGCACAAAAATGCAATATAATGTCTCTTTTAAATAACTTGGTAACTCCCTACTATGCAATAACTCCTTAAGGGAAGAATCCCTTTAATTTTGTATCTGAATCCCTACCAGAGTACGTGGCACACAGATGATCAACAGATTCCTAGTGAATGAATGATCCATGTGCCAATTATGGCAGATTTTATTTTCCAAAGATGGCCACAACTGTATCTCCCCTTGCATGTGCTCTTCTACAAGCTGGCTCTGCTGTTTGTTACCCCATAAAGTGGTGGAGTCCACCCACACCCTTTAAACTGTGCAGGTCCTATGACTGCTTTGACCAATAGACCATGGCAGTAAAGAGGTTTTAATTCTGGGCATAGCTCTTTTCTGATCTAGTAGCTTCCATTTTTTGCCTCTTGGAATCCAACCACCCTGTAAAAGATGTGACTAGTCTGAAATTACTACAAGTCCAAGCCACAAAGAGAGGCCTAGAGAATGAGATACGATGGAAAAGCCAAGGGGCACCAAGGTGCCACGCAAGTGAAGAAGCCATAGTGGAAACAAATCCTCCAGCTTCTGCCACTCCAGTGGATGCCAGGTGAGACAGAGAAAATCCACAACTGAGCCTATCCAAAACTCCTGAGCAGTGAAATGGCAGGCAAAATAAATGGCTGCTTGAAGCCACTGAGTTTTTGAGTGGTTTGCTATACAGCAATAGATAGCTGAAACACCATTTAATTAAATTCAGCAACATTACCTCTTTCTAATTTCTTAACACTCCTGTTTCATATCCAGTTTGTATTTATGACCTTTTCTCTTCATTAATAACTTGTGAAATTTCAATTCTTTTCTTCCTAAAATCCCTTTAGTTTTTATACCCTCACACTACCTTCCATTTTCTAGAGAAAGGAAACAATGAAATGTGATTACACTTACTCATAACTTGCACTAAGAAGTTGTTTAGTTTCCACATTCTGATTTCCCAACTTAACCTGGAATACACTGGCTCCTCTTAAAGTTTCACTGGGGATGTTGGCACTGGTTAGATACCAAAAGCACATCAGGATATTAACAAACTTCCTTCCTTAGAGAAAAAACATACACACATACACATACAAATACAAATCACAATAATCCATCATCCATATATCCAAAATGAAATCAGAAATTGGCAGTAGTTAAAATTGCTACAGATTAAATTCTCTGTTTATGTGGGTTTAACAAGATATCTATATTGATACTTTTTTATTTTTAGAAAATCTCTTAGCATTTATGACATACTTGCTCTCTGCATCTCAGTAACAAAGCTACTATTTACTAAGCCCATACTTTGCTAAGTATACTAGGTGGATTATATTCAATTTGTGGCATTTTCTAAAATTATAATAATTTT